GTGCTAATTTAAGGCTATGTAATATGTAATATTATGTAATACAATGGTTAACTTTCAACTACGGTATAATGGCCCACTATTTATTAATACAGTAACTTTACATTTTTTTAAGCTATTTTAGATTATTACTGAAACTTTTATGATCTCGCACCAAGCTCTTATACGTATTTGCAAAATTGTAGTTATTTCTTTCTGTTTTTTTGGCTCTTGGTGGGCTAATTCCTTTTAAATATGATTTTTATTTGAAGCTGATTCAGAATTGTCTTATTCCTGTGGGAAGATTCTTTTGCATGACAAACAATTGATAATAATAATAATAATAATAATAATAATAATAATAATAATAATAATAATAATAATAATAATAATAATAATAATAATAATAATAATAATAATAATAATAATAATAATAATAATAATAATAGTTATTATTATTATTAATATTATTGTTTCCCATTTCTCTCTGCATTACAGCAGGCATTTACATAAATATATGTATGTGATTCAAATATATCAAATGCAATCCCGTAGACAGTTAAAACTCTATCACAGAATCACATGTCGAGAGTTGTTTTAAATGCCATGTTCATGGCCTGTGAGGTCACGGTGATATCCTGTCTTCCATCACAGCAGCATCTGCAGTTAATTTCACTGGAGTAAAGGGTCAATAAACACTAAAACTGTTGCAGCAAAACAACAACACTGGTTTCATTTCCCATCATCCCCTCACATGACCCTTCACCCCATGAGAGTTTTAGGAATCACTGTGGAGTTAAAGGAGCTGGGGTACCACCATTCAACAGACATTTAAATTCTAGGAAATGAAGAAGATCATAACTGGTTTAAGAAAAGAAGCGGGGGGCGGGGGGTTAAACGATGGGCTGGGGATGGTATGTACGCTCCTCCGGAAGGAGATGAAAGTGTGGAATGTTGGCCAGGGTCACACTTGTTGGCTAACGCCAGTTTTTCTAATTGTACCTCAGCACCAGTAGAGCTGTTTGTCAACAGTCCTGCTCAGTCTCCTGTGTCTAATGACATCCTGTTGTTTCTTATTTCAGCTGTTGATAGAGTTCCTCACAGTCTTTCTTTTCCATTACTCTTCACTGCATCCTGACCAGCGCTGCACATTTTTCAGATTTTCAGACAGATTTTCCTCCTGTAACTCACAGAGGCCTGTAATTGCGGTGGAATGGGCGGTCACCTATGCGTGAACTCTTCAAAGATGTGATTAGAGTGGCTCACCAATGTGCCATGTCCAAACTAATCTCATCAAAGTAGGTGACACCGTCGTCCACCTCCGGCCAATTAGATACCGGGACACCATAGGGATCAGTACAGAACAGGATCACAGACACCAGTCGCCCAGTTAAAAAGAAGGAGAGAAAAGTGCTTTGCATCACATGATACACCCCCTGTACCTCAGACCTAACATGACACTCCATGAGGCTCCTTCATGGAAATACGGTGCAGTAGGTGAACACCACTGCCTGTTAAAGTTTTTTTTTGTTTGTTTATACAACTTGGTGCTATTTTTAGTGAATTTGTGTCTGGTTAAGAAATACCAGGTGACGACTGGTGCATTCAGAAGACAGTTTTCATTAATAACAATGCTTACATTAATGTCCTCAGTTGTTATAGTTTTACAATTGCAACAACGCTGCTGTTACAACTACTGTGTTTGTTTTAATGACAGTGTTATCACAGCTGGTAAAAAATGAGGAAAGTGTGACACAGTCTGAGGTTTTAATTTAATATGGAGCTTCATGGCATCGGTCTGTTTGTGGAAAAATACATCTGAATATCATGTAAGATATATAGATATTTAGTTAAAAAAAAAAAAAGAAAGAATGAAAGAAATACACTGTCCTTGATTTATTTGCTTCATGGCTTTATTCCATCACAATGTTGTTAGGTTTCTAGTAAGTACAGTGTAAATGTATATGTATGTAACACTAAAAAATCTCCCCACAGGAATGGTGCAAAGATCTTTCCAGAAGGTTTTAGATATTATCAGAATGTGACCCTTAACAGATGTGATGGATGACAGAAAGCACACGGACACACAATCTCAGAGCGAGACAGCCAGATAAATGCTGACAGTTGAAAGTGTAAGAAGATGAAAAACAGAGCAGACAGAGACGTGTAGGAAGAACGATCAGGGACCTACTTGACTCCAGTTTCAAATGTTTGGGGTTTTGTTTTTTTTAGAAAACTGTCATTCCCAAACCAAATTACCTAAGAAACAATCATTTTAAGACATAGCAGATTTAAGATTTGCCCCCATCAATGCCTGCCCATTGACCATTTCCCAGGGATTTTAACGTATGAAATGCACAGTAAACCCTGAGCAGCAGCTCATACAGAGACTGGACGCTGTCTTTGCTGCTGTCATTGGTTTGATCACCTGACACACAGTGTGTGTGTGTCCTTGGGTTTACAATGTTGGGAACAATGGCTCGACAGACACAACTGTGTACATACTGTGACTGATACAGCAGCGCTGTGTCGCCGTGTGGTTCCTATTGAGAGACAGAGTTATAGGTACAACACGTGAAATCCATGCATATGTTTGACTTCATCTCACCTATGGTTTAAATATTATTCTTCTCCTGTTGCAGTTCTTGTGTGATGCATTCAAGTGTTCTGTTAAATTGCATCAGATAGTGTTTATCGTACGTAAGGCCCAAAGGAAGAAACTGTTCCTGAAATTGTCAGCACACAAAAACAAAGTTGTATTTGTTTGTATCTCTGTCAATTCTCAACTGTCCGTTCAAATCAAAACATAAGGCGAGGATGAATAATATCACAACTGTAAAAATCACATCTAATCCAATTTATCATTATAGATCCTGTGTCAGAGTTGGCTGAAATTTCCAGTGTGTGGGTGTAGTGAGTGTAGAATCATGATGATTTTTTTAAAAATAGAATACGTCAAACCAAATAATTTCCAAATAGATTGTGTCTCATTTTTTAAACATAATATACTCTTGGGTCTGTTGCCTTATTTAAAGTGTTTTGTATTCCTTTCTCTTTTGTTTTTTACTTCCTGGCCACTTTGTGCATTTATTGAAGTTCCTCCGTACTTGCTTGCACAGATAATCAAAATAATTTCATGTTAGTTCTCAGATAGGAGCCATTTGGGTCTTGTTGTAGACAGAGGAAGAACTGTAAGAGTGTGTGGTTAAGATATCTGTCTTATAGTGGATTCTGAGGGACACCAGGTGAAGACAAAGATAGAACGAGACATTTAAAAGAATCCCTTTTTAATATCTTTGCATTATTTAAAATTACATGTGTAGCTTTGCACAACGGCTGAAATTGAGATTCCAGTCCACCTGGTTCTACAAAATAAAAAAAACGTATGAGAGCTGAAGGGTTAAAATCAATTTAAAAAAGAAATGTTACAAACCATAACAAGTTTGTGAGGAAGAATGTATCTTTTCCAATCTCAAAGCATGAATATTTGACCATAGTTGGTATAAGTTAATATTCATGGTATGAGTCCAAGCGGCCTTTGTCTCCTGCTGTTCCACCGCTAACTTTAAATATTATGCATGAAGGAACCCTGAAAAGTTCACAGTCAATTAAAATCTTGTTGCCTAGTTAGCTCTGGGTTTTATCTTCTCTCTGACCTCACCATGACACCTAAATGCCCCCACCCACTCCTCTCCCACCACAGTTCTTGCTCCAAGTGGAAAAGCTTTTCCTGTACTATTTAAACCACTTGTTCCTGACAGTCCCTACACCTCTGACGGACTACATTTTTCCACAGTTCTAATTCCCTCGTTTCCTCATCCCTCTCTGCTCGACTCTCAGCCGTCTAAATGTTTGTATTGTTGTGGCCCAGAAGAAAAGTGCCCTGGTCTGAAACTTCACTGGAGCTGCTTTTAAATTATTTATTTTCTTCAATATTACAGCTCTTTTTTCCTGACACAATGGGATGAGGTGGCATTAGACAACAACCAGCTGTTGTGTTACTGTGAAATGATCGGTTTTAACCCAAATAGGTCCAAAACATTTAGACATTGCAGTTATAAAGCACTGACCAGGTGTTGAGTTCATTAAACCTGCACTAGCTTTGTTAGCGTGGTAGTCTGCTCGCAAATAACATTAATATGACAACAACAACAACAAAAAAACTGACAAACAAACCTACAGGTCACTTCTTTTTTGGGCAATTTGGGTTTCATCAATGGCAGCAGTTATTATTTAATTGACTTTACTCCCCCCAATGGGTTTTTATTTTTTAGTAATTAGAAACGTAGGTGAAAAAATATAGACAGTCACTAAAGATAAATACTGTATAGAAACATAAGTTAAAAGTAAAAATCATTATTATTATTATTATATTGATGTTGTTGTTATTATTTATAATAATAAGAATAATTTAAGTGATCGGTCAGTTTTGATTTAACCAACATTAGAATTCCTTAACAGGGCTGAGGAGATTGTGTAAACAGGTCAGTAGAAAGAATACATTTCTTCATAAATCTGTGCACATTGTGGCTATTCTGCACGCTGGTCTGTACAGTCTCCTCTCCCTGTGTCTTGTGTGTCAGTACAGTACTCATATCTGTCAGCTGTGTTTGGCTCATTAAAAAGGAAACACTAAAGGGAACTGTGTGTCCTTTCCCTGACCCTGAGTGGATGGTGGAGAAACGACCTCTGGAGCATGAACTTCCTGTTCCCCATAAATGAGAACGTACACTGTAAATAAACATACAGAACAACGCTGTCCCACACGAACTCTGCCATGGAATACTCTTCACTGTACAACTGCAGTACATTAAACTGTTTCCCTGGATAGTGTTTTTTTCTGACAAAAACTGACCTGACAGAAATAGAAAATTGTTTTTTGTTTAATAATCTGGGGCCGTTGGTTTCGGCTTTGTGATGCCTAATATCCTGTACCATGCTACAATTACTGTTTTTTTTTCTTCTTGTTGTATAATGGTGTATTACTGACAGACCTGAATATACAGATATTTTCTGTCTCACAGAAACATGTGGAAACCTTTGACACTGTTGCTGACAGTAGGACTGATGCTGTGTCCAGAGGTGAGGACAGACTTTTCATTGACGGTCATTGAGTCATTTTTGGTCCAAACTGTAGTATCTATTGAGCGGTCATAAAATCTAGTCATTAACCAGCCCAGACATCCGACTTTGTCCCAACTTTTTTTCATATTGTTTATTATTTTGAAATCATTTAAAATTCCATACTACGTTCATACTGTGCATTTTACTAAATATTGTTTATTTCAAGCCTGACCTAAAATGTGGTTTTATTGAAGTCTTAGCCATTATTCAAAAAATAATAATTTCTATCTCAGTTTTGTATTAATGTATGTACTTGGATGCTAATAATTAGCTTTAAACTTTTGTTTTTCATTTTTGTCATCTGACTTTGGGTCATTTTATGTAGAAGTATTTGTGATACAGCACTCTGACAGAATCATGACATTTTTGTGGAATTTGTCATTATGTGATACAAGCAACCATTGGTCAACCTTAAGGTAGTTTCGGGCCAATGAAAACAAAGCTTAATTTTCCATGTGATAATTTAGGTTCAGTGTTCCAGTGTAAATTTTTAAGTGTTTCTTGTTTATGTCTTTGGTGTTTTCTTCTCTTTGCAGCTCGCCCTGTCAGAGGATGTGGAACCAATGGATGTTGTTGAAAACGAGGTTTCTGAGCAGCAGGAGAACTTCAGTGACATATCAGCGGTGCTGGGAACAACAAGACACCAGATTCTGGCTGCTCAGTTTGAGTGTTACCTGAAGATTATCTCTGATCCACCACGTACTGAAGAAGGTGGGAGAGTTGGAGCCACAGATTTGTTCACATTTGAATGGTGTCATTGTGCAACTAATATTTTTCAGCTCTGGTCAGGATTTCCTGAAGAGCTATTTAAAGTCACAGCTGCAGTGAGATCTAATGTTATGTAAATGTTAATCACATTAAAGAGATTTATGTTAGTTTAAAGATTTACATGGTGTAAAAAAGGCCACTGGGCCACACACATGCTTCAGACTTAGTGCAGTGTTCCCAACCTTTTCTACCCAATGTGTTGCACGGCACATTTTACATTTTTTTAATCCGACAGCACACCACCAAACACAATATCAAATAATATATATGTAAATTAAATACAATTATTTACTCATGTTTAACCTCCTCAGTGTGAAACCTGGGCCTGTTTAGTTCAACCCTTATTTACTCGAATGAATTGAAGAAAGACACTCACGAAGAGCTTCTTCAACAAGTTCTTAAATCTAAATACATCCTATAATGTACCGAGAAAAAGGTTCACCTATATATTTTCAGATCTTCTCTATTTAGGAACCGAAAGTATAAAATGAAAATGACATTGATGGCACGTTTCCAGGCTGATAAGCATTCACTGCTGTTTCTCTACTACCGAGTACCAGAGTGAGAGAGAAAGACGGAGGGGGAAAGAAAGGAAACTCGGCCTTTGTTCCATGACCACCGCTGTATTCTCTGTAGTTCACTGCTTTCTTTCAAATGTTATTTTGTGCTCCGTTTCCCAACATGCCACTGTGTGACCTGGTACTGCCGCGTTTCCGCCTATTGTTGACCCTGTGTGTGTCGAGCCCAGCTGCAGTGACACACAAGGTTTATGTACTGGAGGTGCAACACTCTTCATGTTCAACAGACGATTTATGGCTCCTTTAGTTGGACGATTAATAAAAGAGTTTCCTCACATGAAGCTCCTTTAGTTACTGATTCTTACAGATATTACATATGGTAATATCGGGCCGATAATATTATACCAATAATAACCTTAAATTGAATAACTATAACTGAGAACCAAGAAAGGACATCTTAGTCTGACTGAACTGTCTCTCCGTCTGGCAATCATCATGTCATGTTATTATGTCAAATCCGTATTGTGTCTTCAAAATCTGCATCTTTATTTTGTGTCTACTGTCTTTTTCAGGCACATACTGCAATCGCACATGGGACGGTTGGCTGTGTTGGGGGGACTCTGGTCCAGGAATGTCCATGCAGATGTGTCCTGCCTACTTTCATGACTTTGACCCTGCTGGTGAGCTCTCAATGTACATATCATAGATTGTACAAGGGAAACGGAAGCAACCACGTAGTTGCAACCTGGAGTGTTGCTTTGATTAATGCACTGAAGTGATTAGTAGTGAAAAGTAGCATTTTTTTCATGTTTGTAACACAAATTATTTGCAGTTATAGACATTTTATATCAACATTGAATTAAAGTATACATAATTAGGTTCACATCAATGTAGTAATCAGGGTTAAAAACATGACAGTATCTATGAAAAAATGCAACCCAGATCCTATGGTTTTAATGTGGAGTCACTCTATGAGATGTTTTTAAAATAAATAAATGAGTTTAACTGTGCAGTTTTTAATATCATCAAAGTCAGCAAATTTTTCACCACTAGTTCTGGACCACGTAGAAAAAAATGGACACTTCTCGTATTTTAAATACATAGTTGTGCACATAATACGATGTGTTATGGGGAGGGGTTCCCTGTTCATGCTGTATTTGAAAAAATATTTTGTAAATATAAGATATTTTCTCTAAAAACTAAAAACAAAAACCAAGTTCAACTGTTTTGTTCCACAGAGAAGGTGACCAAAGTGTGTAATCCTGACGGCCAGTGGTTCCATCATCCAGAGAGCAACAGGGTCTGGACCAACTACACTCAATGTCAGGCCTACACCAAAGACAAACGCAAGGTCAGACACAAACTGTGACTGGATGCTGCTTATACAGTATTTGTTTCCACAAGTTTGATCATTGTTTTCCCTCCAGTTCGCCATCAGTCTCTACTACTTAGCTGTGGTTGGACACTGTTTGTCCATTCTCTCTCTGATCATCTGTCTCGTCATCTTCTCTTACTTCAAGTGAGTCAAACTGTTGTTTTCCTTCTTCCTGATCTGATGTAAACGGCATCGCAGATTGACCCTTGACCCTCTTGCCCCCTGTCTTCCAGGAGTCTGAGCTGTCAGAGAATTTCCCTCCACAAAAATATGTTCCTGTCCTTCATCCTGAACTCCATTATTACTATAATGTGGCTCTCACTCACCATGGCCAGCAACCAAACCATTAACTCCAGCAACCCTGTGAGCCGATGCCTGGTTTTCAATTCTATTTTATGACATGTTAAAAACAATCCCAGAATTTTGTTAACTTATCAAACGTACATTTTTTTTTACATTTTCTCTTCCATCAGGTGGGCTGCAAAGTCCTGGCTGTATTAAGTCAATATGCGTCTACATCTAACTACTTCTGGATGCTGTGTGAAGGCATCTACCTGCACACACTCATCATCGTGGCCGTGTTTGTTGGGGAGCAGCAGCTCTTCTGGTACTACGTCCTGGGTTGGGGTGAGTGTGTAGAGTCACAGTGGTTTTTGGTTTTTGTAAAAATATAATTCAAATTGTACAAGGATTTTGGGGGAAAATTATGTATAATGAAGTAGATAAGGATAAATCAAATTTAGATAAAAAAAAGTATTAAAATATTATTTATCAAAATTGGAATTATTTTAGAAAAGGAATCTTTATTTCTAAATCTCATTTTTTTCTCTAACCAAAATCTAAAATGTCTTAAAACAATTTCAAAACGTTTCACAATTTCTAACGTTGTTTTGAAAGAACGAGAGCGATTTCACTGCGAGCTGCCTCCATCTAGTGGTCATTACGGGTTTTAAAAATCATTCAATGCATGAAAAACACGCTGCATAAACACAAAAGTCACAGCGCAAACACACACCATTGTTGGGTTGTTACTGATGTTTCTCTTTGCTCTGTTATATCCTCAGGTTTTCCCATTGTTCCTGCAGCGACGTATGCTGTGGCTCGTGGTTTATTCTATAACGACACGTAAGCAACACTGGGATTGTTATTCAATCATATAAATTAAACATATCCCATAAACTGAACAGTGTTCCAGTATATACTGAAAAATCCATGTATATGTGTTTTTTTCTCATTGGGCCCCATCACCCAGAGTTCTGTTGGTATTGATTTATGTGTTACTGAGCCCTTAGTCCTAATGAAACGACGGCTCTTTGTGTTTCTTGCAGGTGTTGGATCAGTGCCCACACTCAGTTGCTTTACATCATCCATGGACCCATTCAAGCTGCACTGGTTGTGAGTATTTTAAAATGAAACAAACAGAATCATCCATTTATCCTTCTGTCCGCTCAGCCACCACGAATCTGTCCAGGTGAACTCTTTATTTCTCCTGAACATCGTCCGAGTTCTCATCACCAAACTGAAGGAGACCCACTGTGCCGAGTCAACGACCTACATGAAGGCGGTCAGGGCTACCCTGATCCTCATCCCCCTTCTGGGTGTGCAGTTCATCCTCCTGCCTACGCAACCAGAGGGCCGCATCAGCCGGGCTATCTACGATTTCTTTGTGAATATCGTCGTCCACTTCCAGGTAAAGTCGTTAATCTCTGAAGAGTCACAGAAACACTCTTCTGAAGTCATGGTTGCAACAGTCTATTGTGGACTATTTGATGATGCCCACAAACCATCACATTGCCAGCGATGCCTTTACTGTCCTAGAAACAACTCCGGCTGTGTTGTTTGTTCACATTCAGACATCAGACATTTTTCTAAAGTTGATTGTTGCTATGAACTCACTGGATTCAGATGCAGTTCAACAGATCTGGTGTTTGTGTTCATCTCTCTGTTCCACCATTTTACAGGGGCTTCTGGTGGCAATCATTTTCTGCTTTTGCAACGCTGAGGTATGTCAAATATAAGGCTCGTCTTTTTTATTTAAACCATTGAAGGTTTTAATAAAGACATTGACAGACATTTTTTAAAAATCTATCACGAACAGTCTGCTGCCGGGCTAGGTAGAGTCACCTGGGTATAACAGAAAAGTTTCATTTTCTGATTTTTTTCTTTATTCTATTATCTTCCAGTTATCATCAGGGTACATTTTTGCTCTAGCAAAACATGTAACTATCGTCCTCATTTATATTTATGGTATGGCTAATGTAATTAGCATTTTGTTTAACTTTTCTGGGCAAAGTTAGTAGTATGTGTTTGGTTGATGACCAAGTAGCTCATTTTTTTTAAATTGTGGCTAATAATTTTAGCTTCTTTTTATGTAATTGTGGCCAATGTAAAGGTAACAAGCTTCAATTTTCGTCTAAACTTTGTCTTTATGGAACTTTTATTTAATATTTTTGTGAACTTAGGACTTTTTTTCTGCCAATTTCTTGCTAAATATTTATAATGTCAGAGTTAGTTTGTTTTATCTGTGCTATTTTTTGAATAACTCATAGCAATAGGTCAGATTAAAGAACACAGATTTACCTTGAATACACCTTTCTCTGCTTTACTGACAACTTAAACATGAATATTTATATGATTTTTTTGTCTGAAAAAAACGTTTTTGACACAGGTGGTTAAAAAGATTTGCTACATAATTTACATTTACATACAGACCTATACACTGATATCTAATTATATATATATATTTCTTTTTTTGCGAACAATTCTTTCTGTGCCAACCATGCTCAGGCCCAGGGAGCTCTGCAGAGGAAATGGACACAACGAAAAGTTTCCAGGGGCAAAACTAGTTGGGGAGAGACCCCTATGACCAACAACCACTTTAACTCCCACAACAACTCTTCCATCACAGAAACCAGCAGAGCCACCATTAACCTGGAGCCGCAGGTGGCAGCTGCCATCGACAGGAAGGAGAACAGCTTCCCTCTGTCGCTGCATCAAGAAACCAATGGACAGAAAAAGAACAGCAGCTCCTGCAGCAACGGGGGGGTGGAGAAGCTAAACAAGGTGGAGAGCACTGACGCATGACTGCAACGAGCACAGCAGTCCACACGAAAGGATACTGACAGAGCACTGTATTTATGTACATAAACAACACCTACGGAGCACATACAGGTATGATCACTCAATCTTATAAATAATATCTTTTTTTTTTTGAATTTTAAACAATTGATGTATTTTATGGTATATTTGTTTTATTTTAAATTTATATATATATAATAACATGCAGTTTTATGTTTATAAACTCCTGCCTTATGACACCTTGAAAGTTTTACACTTAGTCCCTATATTACAAATGGATGTAACCAGCCATCCCAGAGGTGGACCAGAGCAGTTTCCCTTTGATTTCACCAGGTATTTCATATACAGGACTGTTGGTCTGGCAGGTTCACTATTATCAGAATTGTTTGTTTTTTTCCTCCACCACTCCACCACCACTCCCTTCACTTGTTGCTACCGTGGATCATCTTCCTTCGTCTTTTGCATGGCTACCAACACTTTAATAGTCTTTAACAGTACTTACATACTTAGTACTCAGTATGTACATAGTACGTACTTTAAGAATATACTGTATGAGGTCATCATTCTTCGAATGAAAACTACTTGCTTAAAAGGGAATCAGAAATGTATGGGTATTTGGAGCAGCTCATTAATGCAAAGTTTCAAATACTCCTGGTTTTAATAATAAGTGTTGATATTTAAACTGTTTCACCACTCTGTTTGATAATAACAGTACCATTATTGGATCTCATATACAAACCAAGGGGCATACAACATGTAATATCCCTGAATGAGTTCTGTGATCACACCAGCCTCTGCAATAGGGACACAAATATATGCATGTCTGTCTGCTTTACAACAAATGGATTTGATTGTGTGTGTAAATGGTTAATATGAACTGATCTGATGCTTTATGTAATAATAATACTATAGAGTAAAAGTTATTTCATGCATTTAAAAAATCCATCATGTACAGTATGTGGTTTTTGTCAACACAAAGATTTTGCCAAATTTACTTTTATTCTTAATTCTTCTGGACAGGTGATTGTGTTTTATTTTTCTTATCTTTTACTTATTGCTTTGTAAAAATCTGTGTTATTGCTGTTTTTCACTGGAATTGAAATGTATAAAAATATTTGTGTTATTCTTAATAAAATATAAATGCAAAAAATGACTCATTTGGTTTGACTAATTAAATGTCTGGTTAGCTTTCAATTTCAAATATCTTTTGAATAACAGTGTGTGTAAAATGTATTGTTTGTCCTGGTATATTTAAGTGATACTCCTCCTGAATATCTTTTCAAATTTCAATGTAGCTTTTAGTTTTCTGATTTATTTTAGCTTTCTGATTTATTTTTATTTTCTAAATTCCTGATTCAGTCAAACTGCTATTTGTGAATTGTAAAGATGTCTACTATATTTCTTTTATATAGTAAACGCCTTTTTTTAATCAGAGGTCCCAACCTTTTTTGTGGAGAAACAAAACAACAAAATAAAATCTTAACACAGACATTTAAATAAATACATAATGCAGAGAGGGTTGGTCAACTACAGAGACAAAGTCGCACTTAAGCAGTGCTGTTAATGGACCCTGTACGTAAATGCATTGTATTTGTATTTAAATTGTATTTCATTTTGTAAGCCGAATGCTGCTTCATTGTCTCTGTGGACACACTGCTTTTGAAATAAGCTTGTCAAAAACTTTTATTTTGACAAGCGTACGTACGTCAAGAACCCTTGTCATTTTCAAAATAAAACACCCGCTAAATGCTACTGCTAAATGCTAAGATGATGTTAGCATAATGGTGATATGAAACTAATTATTAGAGGGATTATTATTATTATATGCCGGTACTGCCCTGTGCCCGATTATGAAATAATGTGCGTTTGACGGTTCGAAATGGAAGAAAAGGGTGAGGTCCCACCGAGATTTGAACTCGGATCGCTGGATTCAAAGTCCAGAGTGCTAACCATTACACCATGGGACCATGTGATGAAGATGACAAGATATAACAATTTATAACCAAAGGAAATAACTGAAATAAAATGTATAATAAAATCCACAGGATTCATTACCGACAGCAAAAAGTGTTAGCACTTAATGGTAATAAGCGTGATTTTAATTGGAACGGTTTGGTCCAAGTCGTAGCGTTGTTCTTGGCTGACGTAATGATTGCGAAAGCCCATGTATGCCTGAAAACCACAGGTGAACGCATTTAAACATGGTGCCCGTTAATTGTCGATAAAGCAGAAACAATAATTATAGCAATGTGTTAAGTAAAGTGCATTTTTAACAGAATTGAAAATGTATCAGGAAACCAAGAAGACAACGTCAAGGTAAAGCAAAAACAAAAGCGACGCAACATGTACATATATAGTACTTCAAAAAAAAGCTCTGCACACAAAGGCTTAATACGAGCGTTATATGTATGTTTATAAATGTGTTTGCTACGATTTTATTTATGTATATTAGCTATTGATAACATTTGCCACATGAGGGCGCCAGGTAATTAAGTATTTTCACGACTGTGGCTACTTCAGATTTTTATTTATTCCGTATATATCAAATTTTAAATATAAAAGAAAACTCACAATAAAGTTAGCTTTTTTCCTGACTTTTATCTATCTGTGCTACTGTTTGGGTTTTTTTACTAATATTTGGGCCAACTATTTTGTTGTCTCTAAAATAGAATAAAATTTTTCTATCCAACTTCAGAATAGTTTAAAGTAAATTTGGCCAATGCTCCCGTAACCTTGCCTTCCTTTGTTTTTTAGTTACTTAAGTATATCACAATTGCAACTATCTTATTGTATAGACTTTTTGTCAACTTTTGGTGCTGGCCAAAATACTATATATCACTATTTTTTTGGCATATTTATTGAAAAATGTTACCTTCTTGCAACTTAGACTTGTGACCTGTTTAATTAACTGTTTTTTGAATGGGTGTTTTACAAAAGCAAAGAGGGAACTATGTGGCTAACCTTTGCTAATTTCAAAGATTAAATATATCGACTGACTTCTAGCTGCTGTTGCTGTCAGGTGTATTCATTTATGTTATATTTTTGATTAAAAGGAACATTTAACAGCTTATCATCGCACACTGTTTCATCACAATGTTGCTTGTGAGGTGAGTTGATTTCTGTGTACTCTGCAAACATTACACTTGCAGCAGACACGCTTTTTGTTGACACAACTGTGTGTCCAAAGGGGCTAAAATATATAAATATTTCAAAGTGAGGTTGCCTCACAAGAGACTATTGCAGGGCTGTGTGTGTAACACACTGCGTTTCCATGACTTTCAGGCCCATTCACACATGCTGTATCTATGGAGAGAAATGTGAGGTGATTTCAGGACACATCCCACCGCTTGGTTTATACCAACAGCCTAACACACAGAGAGACTCTCAGCTTTGTCATTACAACCCCTAACACGTGATCATGCTCCATTTCCACTTGACCTGCTGCTCTTTTAACCCTTTTAAACACACAAGCCAGAAAACAGGCTCACAGTCACACAGAGACATGCACAATAGCTGCACTGTGTATGAAATCAATGTATCCAAATGGACGCCTGTTTGACTTTAGTCATTAGTCACTCAACCTATGCACCACATGCACTGTAGCTGGAAGTAGGTCAAGCACATGTATGTATGACAATTAATCTGATCTGTTATTGTAAATAAAATCCATCAATAAATAAATAATGAATACAATTTGAAAAAACAGAGATAGAAAATAATGCAGGTATATTTCCAGTGGGCTCACCACCCACAGGAAGGTTTAGGGGGCTTGGTACGGTGCAATGTGATTTGGGTGGAGACTGCTGCCCCCGTGACCCGGTACCGGATAAGCGGATGAAAATGGATGGATGGAGGCATAGATAGATATTTCAGCTATCTTTACAATATTTAAAAAAAAAGGCTAAATCCTGATTTTTCTCTATGATGGCTGTCTTTGGATTTTTTTTTCCGTCTTTCAAAAATGTTTAATATTTAAATAGACTTTTCTTTTTTTTAAATGTAGCATTAAATGCCAAACCTCTCAATAAGGAGTTAATTGCGATTAATTCCTAATTGATTAAATTAAATTAATGTTCATCATTCAGATCAATTTGTAACTATTTTTGGAGTCTTGTATCTGTTCCAGGTCTAACTTTTAAAATTTGCTTGACTATCTGTTAATTTGCACTTTGGTAATTCTTATCTTTTGAACCGTTACTTACTTGTTACTTGTCTATTATGCTTGGCTTTTGTTATTTTCTTGTGTAACGTGTGAGCTAACTGAATTGGCATTTCATCAGAGTAGAATTTGCACTTAGATATCTTTTGAGCTATCTTTTTGAGTTATTGTTTTTGCTATTCCTTTTTGTTTACTTTTGGCTTTTTTGGGTGTAACTTCTAAATATTTTTCTTTCCAGGTTATTTATTTATTTAGTTGTTCCTACTTTCTGCAGTATCATCCATGCTAGTAAGAGCTTTGTGCAGAAATTGTTTGTTTACAGCCAAAGGTCCAAGACCTCAGAAATCACAAGTTTTACCTTGTGAGGAGTCACAAAGGCCACAATGAAATTAGTTCAAATTTTTCCCAAACATTGACCCAGACCTCATCTAGAAGATGATTTTGTCAGTTAAAGGTTAAAATTGCTGAGGCTCTACTAACCCTTTTACTTTTTCTCTGTGAATACAACTTACAAAAAGATATAAAATAATTCATTTAAATTGTGGCTTCAACATCACATGAACCTGACTGTTCAGATCTAAAAGGCCAGAGGTCAACATAACAATGGTCAACAATGGTTTTAGTCAATATGTGGTGTGGAGAAGATCACGTAGACTTAGGGAGGTGATCAGTAGAGACTTGCGACCCCTGGTGGGATACTTTACTACATCTGTCGTATACTTCAGCTGTTCATTTCTTTTTTTTTTTTTTTACTATTGCACAGTGCATCTGCTGATGATTGGCCCAGAACAAGGAGTTTATACAAACCTCACTTTGTCCCAGTTCAAACAACTTGTGACTGAGTCTATGGCTTTACCTTTGGCCCACTTCTAGATTGTTTACCTGAAGTGTTACCGTCAGATAAAATATTTTTTACTGCCACCTGATAAGTGTAAAGGTATTAATAAAATATACTGAGTTAAAAAGGAAAGTTACTGTTGTTTTTGCTCATTATTTTTAGTCTTATTTTAGTCTTTAAGATCCTGATAAAAAAAGTCACTGAACTCAGAATTAATGGGCTTTTTTAAGTATAACAAAGGTCCACATTGAGATGCAAATCACAAAATGTTTAAAATATCTAAATTTAGAACAAAATTATAAAACTAATTTGCACCGGCCAGAAGATAATCAGTAAGATCATTTTGCTACCAAAAGCCTGAAGCGTCACTAGTTTAGGAACTAAAAGTTCAGTGAAGGCTGGATAAAGAGAGACAGGTCTATTATTTTTCAATCCTGTTACTGCCTTACTGGAACAAAAAGATAATAGTCCCTCTGACAGTTGGACTGAAAGGCACGAGAAGAAATGTGATGTAAGCCGTTTCATTAGAAGTGACAACCATTAACATCTGTATAAGGCTGTTCAGTCCGGCCCACGGATCAGGACTTTGTCCTCTTAACAGTTTTGGACTCATGGGTGAAGAAGTGGAGGTAGTGGCTGAGACGACTCTACGGGAACATGATTGTTGTTGCTCAGAGTCAAAAAAATCGTATTGTCTAAAGACTGACAGACATAACTACAGACCGACATCAAACATTAGCAGAGCACGTCTTTATCTGGGCCTTTACTGGTGACCAGGGCCGCCTCTCCCTTTACGCAGAACTTGCACTGTGTGTAGAGTAGAGTTTCCCAAACTTTTTTTCTGGGGATCCATGGGGCGGTGGAGGTTGGAGTTGCGGTGGCCCCGCTGGTGGGTACTGGCAGTTGTGTCCTTTTCTAATACCCAGTCTATGGTTGCATCACAGATGAACCAAGCAGACAAACCAGCTAATATATTTTACTTATCAGCCGACTGTAACTGTGTCAGGGGTTCAAACTTGCATGCTCTCCTTCATGGTTGTGGTACAAAGAGCAGGGTCACAGACCGTATATAGCCATTGCAGTGAAGCTGCAGAACTTGCAGGTTCTGGATGTTTCCTAATGACTGTGGGCTACTTTTCATTCCATTTATGAGTTC